CCTTATAACCAACCCCCATGACAATTTACAACCACATATCGAAACCCCCAAATCGATTTCAAGACCCAAACTATAAATCCCCAAATCGAGTGAGAAAGAAGATGAAACAAACCCTAAATCGAACCAGCCTTTTGATTTAAAACCGTAAATCAAATCCCCCATCTCAATTTACAACCTTTACTATAAACCCCCAACTCGATTGAAAAACAACGAAGAAAGAAACCCTAAAACGAACCCCCATCTCGAGTTGAAACCGTAAATCAAAACCCCCATCTCGATTTTAGACCATTTCCCCAAAAACCCCAAAATGGATTTCGAATTCCCGATATCCCTAGACCCCAATTTTCAGTCAAATCGATGGAGAATCTACTGGATACTAACCTGATGTCGTCTACAACGCAGAAACTCGTCGATTCGATGGAGAATTTCTCCGGTAACTCAGCGTCGCGATTGAATCGCCTTGAGAGCGAGAAACCCTAATTTTTCGAGAAAGGAGAGAAAATGAAATGAACCTTCGCGAACCCGTGTTTCTGCTTCATCAACGCGTAATACGCGTTCCCAATAAGAGAGTGACACGTGTGATGAACCCGTATCATACGGGATCACGCCCATGAACCGGTTCACGCCAAAGGCCCATTTCTTTCTATTTTTTTTAATTTAAAAAGTGATGAACCTCAGCCCATGAACCTGTGTAAAACCCCAAATGGAGATGCTCTAAGTCCCCATCTCTCTTTTCCATTAGCCCCTGGGGACTGCAGAAGTCTTGGTTCCTGATTCTGTGTCGTGGATCGTTTAGTTTTATTGCGTTCTTCATAGCATAATGAAGTTGACTGTGCGGATTTAAAAATAACTAGGTGTTTTGTCCGCACATGCGGGCTTAATTATCTTTAAATCAATTTAAAAAATAGTCAAAATAAATGATTATTTACATCCAAAAAATTTAACCTAAAACATTAAAAATTTTAACATGATAAAGTTAATCACAAATTAAAATCTTTTTTTTTCTTTTAAACTTTAAAAAATCTAAAATCCATTTCCTTTCTTCTTAATTGATAAAAATATAGAAATCTATCTTTCAATTTGAAAAATTGAATCGATAACTATACATTCAAAAATTGATCTTACAGAAAGAATAGTATTAGTTTGGATAATAATACAATATATTTAAAATTTATTTTTGTCAAATATGTATTTTCTTTCTTTTTTAATGATATTTTATTTTATTATGATTAATTCATGTTTAAGGTATAATTATATAAAATATAAAAATAAATTTAATTAAATGTGTAAGTTCAGAGACAAAAACTAACTTCACAAATATATATCGTTATATTATATTATTATATTATTTTAATTTGTAAATAATTACGTATTATAATATTTTAAATTTTATATTTTCAGTTATATACAATCAAACATTTTACCTCTATGAATATTTATTTATGTTTTTTCTGGTTTTGAATTTTTTTAATTAAATATATTTTCCACATAACAACACAATATATATAGGAATTATTTTTTTATTTTTAAATATATATTTGGATTATGGATAATTCTTATCATTATTATTAATTTAAATCATTTATCTAATCTAATAAATTTAAATTTTTTTTTTTTATTTTTAACTGATTTATATATTTTATTCATTAATGGTATAAACGATATTAACCACTCCAACTCTTAACGTGAGAGCTCCGTTGCGAAAAATCACTTCGCAAATAATAGTATAGATAACAATTTAATCAATGGGTTGACGGGTTAAGAGCATCTCCAAGAGGCCCTAAACCCTCAAATTTTGAAGTTTTTG